CCTCCCAGGTTTTGGGATTAAAGGTGCAGACCACCATACCTAGCTTTAAGTTACGTTTAAAACATTTAAACATATTCTCATACTGACTTCTAGACTGCGTTTAAAATTCATATTGTCACCAATAGTTCCCTACTATAGACGACTCCAAGTGGCATTACTTCCCTGCTTCCTAGCTGACTGACTGAAGATGTGTGAATCTATCTAGTCCGCTGGGGACTGAACAAAGGACCTCATGAACACTAAATACACGCTCAACCACTGAGCTACATTGTCTCCATCTTTCATGCTTACTTGTGAGTGAATGAATTCATAAGGCATGGCCCACATGTAGAAGCTGGAGGACCACTGGAAGGGGGTCTGTTGTCTACTTCCGCTGTCTGGGGACGAGAGACATGGAACTTAGGTCATAGGACTTGATGGCAAGAGCCTCACCTGCCGAGCCATCTTGTCAGCTCGTAAATGCTCTCTGGCAATTGGTTAATTATGCTTGTTGGCTATCAAGGCAGCTTCATGATCAGCTTTGGAAGTTCTGGTTGATAATTTCTCTTTAAAATGAATACAATCAAAATCTCTTTTGAATCCAAGACAGTGAGTATTGGATTTCACATTTTTTTCCCCCAGCTCTAGAGAAAGTGATCTTCAGGAGTACCTTACGCAGAACGTGATCAAAAACAGTTTGGGGCCAGGAATGCGTTGGTACACCACAGCGAAGAGGAGGGAAGGCCGCTCAGCTTGTTTCGAAGTTTCCTAAAATTCTCCAGTCTTTCGCTTTATGCATCCGGTTGGGTAGAAGGACTGATGGGATCCTGCGCTGAGGAACCGCAGGCGGAGTGGTTTTGTGCGCAGCGGTTCTGCGAGTCCTCGGCTTTCCCGCAGGGGGCAGTGCCGTCTGCCAGTAAGGTGGGAGCAGAGTGGGAACCCGCGCGGAGTTCTGGGGGTTGTTTGCAAAGAAAGTTAGGAGATGCGTTGGAGTGCGAGCCAGACTCTCGGGCTTTGCGGGAGGGTGAGAGAAGGACCTCCCAGGGTACCCATGGGATTCAGCGGAGGGGATCTGGATAAGTATGAGGAGTAGGGCGGTTGTACGAGGAGGGGAGGTACAGTCCCCGGAAGATGCAAGCGAGCAGGACGCGAGGGTGAATGCAAGTATGCGTGCGCGCGCTGCAGTTCTCCCGGTTCCGCGAGGCGCGGGTGTCAGCTTGCAGCCGGGGCTCCTCCCTCCGGCCCCCCTGCCCCGCCGGGCGGTCCCTCCCTCCTTCCCCATCGCCCCTCCCCGGCGGGCCAGGCGCTGGGACGCCCCGGCCGAGCAGGCGGCTGTGGTGGCGGCGGCCAGTTTGGGAACCCTAGGCGCCGTGCTGCGGGGACGATCGGGCACCGAGTGTCTCCTGTCCCGGCTGGGCGGTGTTGGGCCCGCTTCCCACGGAGCCACGCCCTGTCAAAACTTTGTCGCTGCAGCGGCCAAACGATCGGAGCCGGGCCAGCGAGCGGGAGGGAGGGGCGCCGGGCCGGGCCAGGCAGGGCGCGGGGTTCCGAGCGCAGCGGCCCCGGCCCGTGGCCCCACCATGCCCCAGCTCGGTGGTGGCCGCGGTGGCGGCGCCGGCGGGGGAGGCGGTGGCTCCGGAGCCGGGGCAGCCAGCGGAGGAGACGACCTCGGAGCGAACGACGAGCTGATCCCCTTCCAGGACGAGGGGGGCGAAGAGCAAGAGCCCAGCAGCGACAGCGCTTCGGCGCAGCGGGACCTGGATGAGGTCAAGTCGTCCCTGGTCAATGAATCGGAGAATCAGAGCAGCAGCTCGGACTCGGAGGTAAAGGGATTCCTAGGGTCAGTCCCACTGGGGGACCCGGGTCCCGCTCCCGCTCACCCGAGGCCCTCGCCTTTGTGTCTGTCTCCTCCACAGGCGGAGAGGCGCCCGCAGCCCGCCCGGGACGCTTTCCAGAAGCCGCGCGACTATTTCGCCGAAGGTACGTGCCTTCTCCTCCAGTCTCCACTCTCCGGCCGGCAGCGATCGGCGCTACCGGTCCCCATGGCCCGGGTGGCGGAGCCCCTGTTCTCCTCCCACCTCTGCAGCGACCACTCTGGAGCTTACTCGAGGGGAACTCGGGTTCCAGATTCCCGCCTGGAGTTCCAGACCGCTGTGCTGTCTCGGGGACCCCTGACCTCACTCCGCTTTGGTTTTTGTCCGCAGTGAGAAGGCCCCAGGACGGCGCTTTCTTTAAGGGACCTGCGTACCCTGGGTACCCCTTCCTGATGATTCCCGACTTGAGCAGCCCGTACCTCTCCAATGGACCCCTGTCTCCTGGTGGAGCGCGCACCGTAAGTGTCAGTCCAGCTGTGCCCGGACCGGTGGGCGCCGGGCCCCCCGCGGGATGAGCCCCCAGGCTCGGCCGTGGTGTGGGGGATGGGGCCTCCTGCGTCGATCCTGGGCAGAACTTGTTTGCGGAGTTAAACTCCCCTGTGGCGGCCTAGTATGGGACTGCGCTGGCCAGTGCGGGGATGAAAGTAAAGATCTTTTAACTTCTCGCCTTTGGGAGCTCCTGCTCGCCTTCAGGAGATCGCGGCCTGGTGGGTCCTCCTCCCAACCTCCCAAATTCCTTGCTTCTTCCAAAGGAAAACTTGGATTTGTGCCTACTTTGGGGGGTGGGG